TTTTTTTTAAATCAACCAAGAATTCTTTTGTATAACTATAATATTAAGAGGTCTAAAAACATGTATATGCAATTTTGTTCCAACAAGATTCGGAAAGATATTTTATTTCATTCTCAAAAATTGGTAGAAAGGAGCAAAAACAATTGCACTAAAAAACAAAAAATGTTAACAAAAACAGTTATATAAAATATTTCTAAATAATTTTTGCATTAAATTGTTGTCAATCAGTCAACATTACATAAAAAACATGTTTTTTACAGAATGTGTTCAATGATTGGTTTAAGAGAAAAACATTGTTGAATTCAGTTCTCCATATCGATACCACTCATTTGTTATTATAAAAATCATCATGAATTGGCATCAAACCTAGAAATTCTGCTAATTATGATTTCTTTTGACAATGACCAAGGGGTATAAGATGACATTTTTCCAAAATGAGGTTTTACATCTTCAAGCAATCGAAGCTAAAATCAGACAAAAATGGCAAACACAGTGTCAATACTGTATGGAGACCATACATGTCAAGCAAAATATAATAATTAAACTCCATACCGATTTCACAATTAATCCCAATGAATCCATTCGGACACTCACACTTGTAGCTGTTAATTTTGTCAATGCATTGTCCCCCATTCTGGCAGGGGTCTGAGTCACATTCACATAATTCTACAAGTGCAAATAAAATAAAAAATTTCAAAATTAAGGGATACAAATAAAACTAGGAAAATACTAAAGATATGGCATTATATTTGAAATAATTCTGATTTTACAAACTAACATACAAACAAACCAACAAACATTTTACACCTTTTTTCTTGAATATGGACATACATGTATTCATCTACAGTTTAATTAAATATATTAAGGATAATTATTTCTGAAAAAACTGAAATGACAAAAACAATAACACATGCGGTGACCATGGAAGTAGAACAGAACATATTAATCCAGGCGTTTTTTCATCTGAAATAGAAAATGAAATATTATTATGGTGTTACATTTTTACCAATTAAATTCATACTTGTCTTGCTAATTCCAAGATTTTAGATCTGCCCCTGATTAACATCTCAGAAAATCTTAGGAAATCAAAGTATGGAGGAGTAGTTAAGTAGGAAGGAAGTTCCCCCATATGAAGGGGTAAAATTTCTTAAGGGGTGAAATTTCCAGGGATTAAATGTGTAAAGGGTGAACTATCCAAGGAATGAAAGATCCAAAGGGTGAAACATCCAGGACACAAAATGTCAAAGGGGTGAAACATCTTGGGCAAAGAATGACAAACGTCTAAAAAAGTAACACATCTTCATATCGTAATTACGCTCATAGATCAATTATCTTGTTTAACCCTAGAGTTCCTAAGCTAATTGCACTAGCGGGAGTTCTTAAGGGGGGGGGGGGGACTCTGTACAGCAAAAAAGTCAAGATTCTTGATTCACATATACTTGCTATTGAAGGATGATTACTTGTTCTATTTGGAGTGATTTGATGTATAATTTGATAATTTATCTACTTTGTAATATGAGATAATCATTGCCTAAATACTTAAAGGATATAACAAAATATGGACAAATCTTGTTTCTTTTAATTAACTGTGTCTTTATGTCTTTTGACCATTACATCTAACATGATAATGTTAAAAAATGCACACATCCGAGGCACACCCCCTCAATCCTGGTCAAAGATATAAAATAAAACCAGAATTTCTTAATTTCATTTTATTTTTTTCATTTCAATTTTGATTTTAGGTTTTATTGTTTGTCAAAATAGCGTGTCAAAATGTGGCAATTTTAAAGTAATACCTTTTAGTCAACTTTAATGACTTCATGATAAAATGTTGGTTCTAAAATGGAAGTGTATAGTGGTGTATAATTTGATAGTTTATCTCCTTTGTAATAGGAGATATCACTGCCTTATTACTGAAGGGGTATAATAAAATACGAAGGAATTGTGTTTCTTATGTTTTACTGAGTCTCTATGTATTTTGACAATTTATAACATCAAATCTAACATATTGATGTGAAAAATTAAAATGCTATATTACATAATAATTTATGTCATTAATTAATTAATTGATTATGATCAATAATAGTCACTAATTAAATAATTACAGCACTGTAAACTGTACTTTGTCTCTTAACGCAACAAAAAAATATACAGGGTACTTGACATTGCTAAATAATAAAAAGATAAGATATAATACATAATTTTTGCACTAAATTATTACCATATCCCTAGGAGCAGCTACATGAAAAATCAGACAAAACCAATGCTAACTTCAAATGTTATCAAAAAAAATTCACACTAGGGATAAATCTGTAAAAGTCAAAAGGCATACTATGGGATCACCCTGTCAATGTACCTACTCTAATTAATCAAGAAATTTTTTGGTTGTCAAACAAATAAACCAAGGTGTTAAAGAATCTTAGCATTGCATCAATGGAGATTTGGCCCAAGGTTTTTTTGAAAAGTCATGGAAAATGATTTAAATGACACGATTGCAAAAGTAAAAGCTAATATTGTTGAAAATATTCACTGAATTCAAATATGGTATTAAAAAGAAAGAAAAATAAGTTGTAAGGGGAGCAATTCACTTAAAATCACATAAAAACAAGAATAAGCAAGATTTCAAAGCTATACAAAAAACCCTTTATTGAACAAAGGGGACATGCCATTAAGAGGCCATTTTCTGACTTAGTCATTTTTTCAAAAGTGTGAAAATAAAAAACCTCATGAAAAGTTCTTAAAATATTCTGAATAACAAGTTGAATATATATTTTTAATGATGGCACAAGCAAAAGTCTGAAAATTAACATGAAATGAGGGGTTTTGACAGATGCAAAAGATGGTAGATTTGTGATGAAGAAATAGAGGTTTTTGCAGTAACAACACAATTACCTCGAAGTTATCGGTTATAAGAGGCTGAGGACTAAACTTGAAATAATTTTCAATCTCAGATTAACCATGTTAACAGTAGTATCTAACTTAAGCCGGACAGCCACTCAAAATGTATATGGAGCCCATAAGATACATTTTTCTCAATTGAAGTCACTATTTCTGTTTTAGCTTCAGAGGATAGGAGGTACATGAACATGCTAAGTTTACCTAGATCACAAGCCTTACCACAAATATAAAAGTATATGGGAATAGAGTTGATATGTGTGAGAACCTTAAAATTCTCATTTTATTGGGGATGGGACTTGTGATTCATGTGTATTTCTAACTTCTTCACATGTGCACGGATCTAAAATTGTGGCAGCCATCTTGGATTTGTCATATATGTGGACATGGTTTTGGTTGTGCTGAATTTGTTCCAAAATAACATTTCTTGTATACCTTCGATAAGTGAGATAGGCATTTGAAATTAAATACAGATAGTATACTTGACATTTAATGCAGTAACAGTTAATACAATTCATTATTACATAATAAAGGGAGTCCAGACAAAAAGTTGATATTGTGTTAGTTTAACTGGGCATAAATCACTCATTGACCTTGGTTTTCTTAATTGGCTTGGATAACAAGTTGTTCTATTTATTCAGAAAAGGAGTATAATTCAATATACAAGTTCACATTCATTCCATCCTCTTGTAGAAATGAATCTCATATTATTTCATCTCAAATATAGAACACAAATATAAGAAAAAGCAAGTTTCTATTAATTACAAAAGTTAGCTTCCTTGTCATGCCTGAGTGTTGGTTCCGCTTCTAGAGAAAAAAGATATTCCCTCTGGAAATATCTTATTGACCATTGCTATACACTCCATATTTAATCCTCCCTGTAAATAACATTGATATACAGTATATATATGACATTGATCGAGGATCTGGGGTTTGGGTATGTGAGACATGAGTTCTTTTTTTCCAAAGTTGAGCTCTGTTCCGCTCTGTTAGGTAACATGAAAACATATTTATCATATTTTGCAAATGTGTGAAAAAAGTGATATCTGTGGAATATGGAAAATATTTCACAGATATCACCTTTTGTCAGGGATTTGAAAACTACCACCAATATGATGTGTTTTGTTACATAGTGATTTCATGACATCACAGGGATGAATGAATGAATGGATGTTGTTTTGATATGTTTTGTTTAGTTTTATGGTGAACTATTAATTCGCTATGCTAACTTGGCAAGATATTGATATCAACTCGGAGATAAAGATGAAATCATTTGGAATCATATGATATCCTATACATATCCTTTACTGTGCCACAACTTTCTCATATGTTATAATTTGGCACAGGCCATCATTTCTTTTCCTTAAATTCATGCTTTTGTTCCTCGTTTTAGAAATGTGAGGAAATCTTTGATTTTCCTTGTATTTAAGTTGCTTAAATGTTGCCGTGTGATGTTGATAAAACTCAATAGTAATCCATGAGAGTCAAAGTCGAAATATACCAATTGCTAGCCCAGAACCTACCAAACTAGCATTTGCATTTTGCCAATATTGCCCTATGTGCTTTTCCATGAAAATAGTTTTAATCGTCTCTTTTCTTCAGTATTTGATATATTACATTTTACATATTTAAATTGGTTTATATTTATACATTATTTACTTAGACAACAATAAATAAAGATTTTTTTGTGAAAACACCAAAAATGGTATATGATCTTTAAATGACTGTTGTGTGAACATCAAAGGTCAAAATTCGCTGAAATTGTATTTTTATAAAGCACAAATGATTTTTCTTCAATATGATATGCATTATTATCAGATATCTTTAGGGGCTAAAAAGGGGCCTTAATGACACCCGTCCTTTAAAATGCATACTATGTACATTGATGAATGAGTGATTGATTGAACTGAAATACTGAGATGTTTGATTTATATGTTAGAAGTCAGTATTCCTTTGGTCAGTTTAGATTTGCTAGATTGGTAAATACCTTCCCTTTCTAATCATTTGTTTGCTATTCTTGGTGATATTTTTCACTAATGACATTGACATGGGCCTTCTTGAATTTTATTTAATCAAACACTTACCGAGCACTCTCATTAGTTCTGCAATGACATCCTTTGTGTCATTGTAATAGGATTCAATGCTCTTCTGCATGTCATTGTAATATGATGCAATATCTTCCTTGATGTCAGAGATGTCATTCTGTGTAGAGTTGTAGTATGATGCGATATCCTCCTTGATGTCAGAGATGTCATTCTGTGTAGAGTTGTAGTATGATGCGATATCCTCCTTGATGTCAGAGATGTCATTCTGTGTAGAGTTGTAGTATGATGCGATATCCATCTTGATGTCAGAGATGTCATTCTGTGTAGAGTTGTAGTATGATGCGATGTCTCCCTTGATGTCAGAGATGTCATTCTGTGTAGAGTTGTAGTACGATTCGATTTGATTTAGGGTGTCATCGTAATATGAATCAATGTTCTCCATGATGTCAGAAATGTCATTCCGTGTAGAGTTGTAGTATGATGCAATGTCACCCTTGATGTCAGAGATGTCATTCCGTGTAGAGTTGTAGTATGATGCAATGTCAACCTTGATGTCAGAAATGTCATTCCTTGTAGAGTTGTAGTATGATGCAATGTCACCCTTGTTGTCAGAGATGTCATTCCGTGTAGAATTGTAGTATGATACAATGTCGCCCTTGATGTCAGAGATGTCATTCCGGGTAGAATTGTAGTACGATACAATGTCACCCTTGATGTCAGAGATGTCATTCCGTGTAGAGTTGTAGTATGATGCAATGTCACCCTTGATGTCAGAAATGTCATTCCGTGTAGAGTTGTAGTATGATGCAATGTCACCCTTGATGTCATTCCGTGTAGAGTTGTAGTATGATGCAATGTCACCCTTGATGTCAGAGATCTCATTCTGTGTAGAGTTGCAGTACGATGCAATGTCACCATTGATGTCAGAAATGTCATTCCGTGTAGAGTTGTAGTATGATGCAATGTCACCCTTGATGTTAGAGATGTCATTCCGTGTAGAGTTGTAGTATGATGCGATGTCACCCTTGATGTTAGATATATTATTCCAAGTATACTTAAAGTATGATTCGATCAGATTTTTGGTGTCATCGTTATATGATACGATGTCCCCCTTGATGTCAGAGATGTCATTCCTTGTGTAATTTGAATATGAGAATATTTCTCTCGATATATCAGAGCTATACGATTCAATGATCTTATTTTGAGTGTCTATGTATGATGCGATATCACGTTGTATGTCAGAGGTATACGATTCAATGTCTTTCCCAAGAGAATCATACGATGATTCTATTTCTTGCTTTATTTCCAAGCAACATGATGCAAATTTTTTCGTGATTCGGCTTAAAAATTCTGAAATGAAGAAGTCTACATTAACAAATACATTTGAGATGCCTAAAAGACACAATTTATTTTGTATGTCACCATCCCTTTGAACTATGTTATGCTCCCAAGAGTTATATATATAATTTAGTAGGGTTTTCCGACTCCTTTGGTTCAATACTTATGCAAGCTAAATTATTTTCAGTATCTATTGGGTCCTAGAAATTTATAGAATTTTTCTTACCTTCCTTGGAACTCTTCTTTGAACTATTTTTTGAACTCTTTTTCCATTTTTTCAATTCACTGCTTGGAATGCAGTCACTGATGAGGACCAGTAAGACTATCACCTTTAAGATATTCATCTTGGTCTACGGGAATAAATAGTGCAACTACAATAAAATCAAAAGTCAATGGCTAAGGTTTCTTTTATAGCTAAAGACTAGCTTGAAAATCACTGAGGAATTAATTTAGGATGCATACGAGGCTTTAATGACCTTTATGCATTTGGGTTAGTCAAAACGAAGCTGTTTTCTTTAAAATAGTGAGGTTAAAATTAGCGTAAACATAAACATGTACTCCTATCTGTATGTTTGTTACAGATGCATATTGTAAAATGAGTTTAAGATAACATAAAAGGCTACAAAACCATATGCTACAATTTATGATAAAAATGACATCCTAATTATAGAATGAAAACCATGCGATGACTTATATGGCATATACAAGTACATGTCACCTCAAAGAACTGTTATATACTTCAGAGAGAGTGTGGTGTAGCTACTGAAGTAGGTAGGGATGTTGCTTGTGGGCCCGCTAATGGGGCAGTGACTTAAGGCGAAATGTTAATTTCTAGCATGATCCAGCAATGAGAGCCCAAGTAAAAAAAGAAATCTAATATACCACTAATACATCACCAATAGATCACCAATACACCATGAAAAGTGATTAAGTCAAGTGGTTTATAAGTTATGTATTAAAACTGGCAATACTCAACTAATAAACCACTGTTAGGTTTTTTAGGTGGAGTGGTTTGTTAGATGTGTATTAACGCGATTTTTTTCTGGAACGGTCTATTAGTAGTTGCTGCTGTAAGATGGCCCAGGAGGACACATTGACTTGTGATTTGGTGTAAAATTGAACTTAATTCTGACCAAACACTAAATTTTGAAATGCCTGTAATTTTTTCACATTTTAGAGTTGAACAATGATACTTGGCGAATCAATGTAACTTTGAATAAGCTTTAAAATGATATATGACACATACCATGACGACACTGGTATATGTCTGCCTAGGGGGGGCCCCATACTTTTAGGACACCCTGTATTAAACTGATCCTTGATTTAGAATGAGAAACCCCTTTTAAATGGCGGAAATAGTTCAAATGTGAGGGAATTAATTCTCCAATGAAATGTAGCATTACAACCAGAGAGGGGTGACTGGACTTCATTGAATCTTGCTCAGCATATTCATAAAGGTATGTAGAAGATGTACATGTTGAATCTTATTCATAATTTTTCACTGAATTTAGGACTATAGAGATTTTGTACCTTATGGATGTATAAAATTCTGAGATTTCAGGAGTGATTTGTTAGTAGTCTATTAAACTAGAAGTGGTGTATTAGAGTTCAGGAAGTGATGTATTAGTGGTCTATTAGTAATACTTGAGACTTCAGGAGTGATCTATTAGTAGTGTATTACATGCTCTCTGATTGGTCAATTATTTTTATCTCATTTGCATGGTAATTTTTTCAACTAATAAACCACCTGTTAAATCAATGGCAAAAAGTGATCTGTTAACGAAAATGACCACTAACAAATCACTAATAGATCATGTTCTACTTGTTGAGTATTAGTAGTCTATTAGTGGTTTATTAGAGTGGTATGGCAAGCTGTTTTTTTTCACTTGGGAGTGACCAATTAGTAAAGTTAAACAATTAGAACAACAAGAAAATGGATACAATCGAAAATTTCATACATTTACAATAAGTGTAAAACTGGTGAAGAATGTGTTAATTCAACTATATCATGCATCATCACATGGGATCATTTATTGCATGAATGAATGTGTGCGACCACTCAATCTTATGCAGATCGAATAAGAAATGTTTGTTGGTACTATTTTAAAGTTTAGTGAATGATATTTGATCTACAAATGGCATAATTTGTTGAATAAAAACATCCGTTTCCAAATTACCTATTTTCGGCCATTTATTAGCCTTGCCCAAGTCGGTATTTTTTTACTTATCTGGTCTTGAATTATTACCACCTTGTACAATCCAATACATCTCCGCTGTTATTATGCTGAAATATTCAATGGTTTCGAGATTTCCATGATACCTACGCTATCAGGGGTATCGCAAAACCTTATTGATTGACAGATATCGCGTTGACACGACGTGTGACTTCAGGCTGAATGACCAATCAAAACGTTATTAGGTTGAGCTGCATAAACAAAACAAACTTCCCATCTACAACTTGAAATTCAATGATCTGATCGAGTGTTTCTTTAGAGTTACAATATATTATGTAACTAAATGTACATTGGAAGGTAAGAGTCATTAATATAAATTAAATCATGCGATTCAGTGTTGATTTAAAACTGATTTCGCAATGAAAATCCACGAAGACCTAGTCCAATGTAGCGGGTCATGTTGTCATCGATCGGTGATTGAATCTCAGCCTACATGTTCAGCGATTGTTTCAACATTTATTGTTGAAATCTTCTCACCTTTGGTTATCCGATCGATGCCCCGGCATCCACTAAACTCTCATTGATATTTCTCTTATAGAATATTTGTATTTTCATGATGAATTCGTGCTCAGATTTGTGCAAGATTTGTTCGTGAAAAGTCCCGGTGAAAAGTGTACTTGTTTTTGACCGTGCATAATAATGAGCTAACGCTACAGGGCCATCGTTGATTGGTCAAATTTTACCGACATCAACAAACTGTCGGTAAAGCATGTGGCTTTCTCTTTGGTTCAAGGTGGTCATAATAGAAATCAAGATAAGTAAAAGAGACTGACTTGGGCAAGGCTAGCCATTTATATGTAAGTACGTATCGCAAACACTGTAACTTACATGTAGGTAAATATATACTTATTGCAATAACAAACTACATAAAGGTATAGGTAAATGGGTTATTTACGCTAATCTTAACCTCCCTGGTGTTCCAGTAGTTACTTCCAATCTGATCTTTTGGAATTCAGATTCTAATAGAAATTAGACACTTAAATTACTCTCAAAATATATTTGAGCCAGGCCACAGGAAAAGGGGTCTTATCACAGAATTTTTCAATATTCTTATTTTTGTTTATCTTAAAAAGCACAAAGAGACCTTTCAAATGAGCCATGACTTATGTTTTAACAATTTTTCCTCGCATATATAGACCAAAATGTCAAATTTGAATTTAGCACATTTTCCTCTTAATCTTGGGCACATTTTTGGCTCTGTAGAACAATTTTAATTTTTGTGATAAGACCGGTTTTCCTATGGCAAGGCTCATTTAATAAAAAATTTGTTTCACAACTTGGATTGTTATATACAAACTGTGTCTCCTAATATGCCTTTTAAATATACTTTACAATTTTATAGAGTTGTTGTTACCTTTCTTGATTCCTTGGTTTGTTGTCTCTGAAGTTGTAGTTGTCTTTGTTGTTGTTCATGCCACGATACTGTTGAGACTGTATCTGTGTGCATGCATGCATACTAATATCACAAGATTATTTTTCCCGCATTACCGCTGCACTCTTCGAGCTGTCAGCAGCATATTAATATATGATTAGTTCATCCATCGTCAGAGATAAGCATGTATATTCAGGGGTGTTTTCAAAATGTTGCAACTTCTCATCTGAACTCCATTGTCCTCCTTTTTGCTATTACATATGTTGTCTAGTGTCTTCTCTTTCCTTCCATAGTTTTGTCAAAAACATATAAGCACTATGAATAGCTATAAGTAAAGTATAAAAATATACTAGTAGTACCCTCTCTCAGGGTGTCAAACACAAAGTTAAATATCACCATTTCATGTTTTTCTGACAACCCCTATCATAAACAAATCAATGACACAAATAGGATTATTTTGCTATTTGAAATTCAAAAATACACTTCAAAATGAACTATTGAACTTGCCCTTTAATTTATATTCATGAAAATATTCCAAATAAGCTAGAAATGACTTAATGAATGACCAAGAAGATTCCATATGAGTGGAGCTTAAGATTAACTTTAAGACAGTTCTGTATGGTATTTTTTATCAATCACCTTCACAAACTCAACTTGAAACAAATTAATATTCTAATACGCCATCTAGCTCATGCTCTCAAGCTATAAATCAAAACACTGATCTCATTTTTTCTTTATGAACACATTGAAATTGAGGTCTTTCCCA